ATCATACGTACTGGAATCTCCGCTCTAACAAACTGTTATTTATATTATCAATTGAAATTATCATTTGAAAGTAAATTTTTGAAACAAAAAAAATTGGAGTTTATTCTCATTTATTCTTATTTTTAAATCGATTCATTTCTGTTGCTTTCAAGCAACATCATTTGTCTCTTTTATTTCACTTCAAACAAAGATTGACAAGGATCTGAGTATCCTGTAGCCTATCTTGCATGCAACAATACGTGAAAATTAATTTGTATTGCTCTTTCCTTTTTTTTTTTTTGTTTTTTGTTTCGTCGAGTTACTGTCGACGGTGTGTTGAATAATGCGCGTGATCTTGAATTTTCAGCAAAAGAATAGGAGCAGCAATACGCTGTTAATTAACAATTCAAAGCTCAAAACGTTTCTTCCTCTCGGCGACCATGCCCACCGCTGGCAATGGGGGATGGAGCGGGTGATGATAATTCGGTGTGGGCGTTGGAGGCAAGCTACGACAACTTCTGCTGGACCACCTCACTGCTGGAGACCTCATCAGCTCTGCAAACAGAACTCTATTTTATTCATTGTTCTCTCGGTAGATTTCGCTTTCACCCGTGCTACCCTGAACTCTAAACTCGCGTGAAAGTGGAAATCAAGGCACCGAGGCAAACTCAAATGAAAGAATAGTCTATATATATATATATATATATACAGATTCGAGAGCAGGTTCGTATGTGTGTTAGTCTACAGTACAGAAGTAATAATAATCACCAAACAATCTAATTCAGAGTAAAATATTTAGAAAATGAACAGCTTGGAGTAAAAAATTTAATTTATTTATTTATTTTCATTCTAAGAAATTTAATAAAATTTCTTTAGAGTAAATTATTTCAAACTTCTGAATCTCTTTAGAATAAATTACACGTTCTTGTAATAAGATCTTATAAACCAATTCTTGCATTTCGTAATCATAGACATAATCAAGGAGTGTAAAATAAATTCCAAATTTCTTTGAAATGAAAATTATTGCGCAAAGGGAACCAGCAGTTACGTGAAAAAGCTTGCGAAAATTCAAAAGCAACTAAACTACCAGAATAGAGTACGCGTAAACTCAAACGAAAGTAGCGAATAAAGAGAGAAATTGCAAAAAAAAAAAAGAAGAAAGAAGAAAAGAAAAGAGAAACGTGAAACAAAGTGCAGATGGTAAGCGTGTCAAAGCAAAACAAACTAATGAAGTGCGTGGACGATAAATTCGTTGAATGATTCGCCTTAATTGGCGAAGAAGAGAACGGACCTGCAACGGAGAGAGCTGGGGGTTCCGGGGTGAGACGGGACGCGCGAGGATTGTCGGCATGGAAGCTGTATGCCTCCGAGTGTTGCTGTTTTTCGATTTTGTTGCTGCTCTGCCAGTCATTGCCGGTGCCATCGACTCGCACCTCTGCTGTGCCACCTTTCGTGTGAAATACAATTGTCGAAATACGATTAACCCGTTTGTACAATTCATTTTTCGCGTATATTTCGCATGTTTCCTCTCCTTTTACTTCATTCACTTAATTATTGCCTTTAATTTAGTGCAATTTAATTAGTAGCTATTTTCGAGATTGATTAAATCGGCGTGGAATGATTTGTGGCGTATTTTGAAATCCTTTTTTCTTTTTTCTAACTAACAGAATGATTTTTGAAATTTATTGATTCTACTCCAGCTTACGAAAATATTTGAACACTTGTAGGAATCTTTTATGGATATATTGTGTTATACAAAACACTATTGTTGTATTATACGTATAATTAAACTATCAAGTTTAAAACAAATATATATGGAAATTACAAGAAATTTAATAAATTATAAATATAAATAATAATATAATCCATTAAATCAATAAATCTCAATATTCGACATTTATTATATATATCTGGCAATAAATATCTTGTAACCTCTGTACAATTTTATCAGTATAATGGTTGAAGTTAGTATGAATTGCAATGTTAGGATAATTATGCTAGCAAGTGATTTTTAATTCTTTTACAGTATAAAATATGTCTTTTACTTCTCTTGGCCGACAAATTTGGCCAATTTTATATTATTATTTTATTTTAAATTCCATCACTAACAATCGTTTTTAATTATATTTAATGAAATGTTTAAATGTTTTATACGTACTCATAAAAGTACTTCTATGCTAGGTGTTCAACTACTTTCGTGAGCCACTAAATAATGGCTTTTTAAACACTTTTCTTCTTTAACATTCTAAATAAACACAGACGAAGGAACTTTGGACAAACTCAGAAATCATAAAGATAAAAATTATATCCCTTCGGTCAGTCCTTAATCATTTTCAGGTGACACGACGGCCGAAAGGATTGAATGAGTCTCTTATGTTGTACATGTATCATGTTCCCAATAGTGAAGCGACGTCTTACAATTGCGACCGCAGAGTTTGATGTTGGCGTTCGGAAGCACGCAGAAATCTCCCCGTGTAAAAATCTTTCAAAGCGTTTCAAAGTGTATAGACTGCAAATTGCAAAAATAGGATCTCCGTAGGTAAGAAAGTGTAAAAAGTTTCGTTAAAAACGTCCAGTCTATAAAAATTCTACGGCAAACTGCACGTCGTATTCTGCACGCTCCCGAACCTGTTAATGGTACACTGAAAGTTATTACACGCGCACAGAGATTAGACATTCAAGGAGTACAAAATCACATTCACGAGAAGGCAGGGTTACTTTGCGTTACAACCTTTAAAAAGTCTTTTGGTTAGCAATTGGTTAGACAACACGTCGAGTGGAAATATAAATCGTCGTCGAGGAGAACGATCCGCATGAACGTTCGCACGAGACCTCGTCGACGCGTTACACATGTAAGTAACAAAACGATTATTGCACACAGTAACAAGGCGGGTTACACGCGCCAATCGTTGAGAATTTGATCGATTAGTTTGATTCGACGGCGAACATTATTAACTATCATAAAATTAATATATTTCGAAAGCGGTTAATTTCTAAGAGAAAAGCACCCGATTAGTCTTACGTTTCCCCACGGCTCTTCCTTGACAATAAACTTCATTGAACAAAGAAACAAAAGCCTCCATCCTCGCTAGTTTTAGCCATGCCAAAGTATAGTTCGTTAAACCGTGAACGAGCGAATCATCGAAAGGAAAAAGCAATGAGGCAAACTCGATACGATGTCCATCCAATATCCGAATGCAGTTATGCGTTTTAGGCCCACTATTCACGAAGTGTGACTTCATAGAATTTTATTAAACGCGACATCGCCTATGCAGCAAGTACACAATGGTCAAATTGTACAATCCAAGTGGACAAATTTATTAACAGACATTTTTCATGATATTTAATATTCGTGTTCTGTTACGTCTAAAATTCCAATGATTGATAAAAATGTACATATAGTAACGAAAGTGCAAAATTCTCTTAATGTTTGTCTACGTCTTGCTACTTACTTATATTTTTCATAGCAATCGATATTAATAATTTGCGTTGTTGCTTATGGATAATCACAGTGTTCAAATGTTTTATTTATTTATTATTTATATAATATTAAGAAATGAGTTCTTAAGTCAAGACTGACAGTTCGCATTTTCTGATATAACCAGAAAAGAAGTTAAACTACAACTCTGAAATATGTACTATAAATAATTCATAATAATGTGCGACAATTAATTATTAATCAGTAGAACTGATATAAGATCATTCTTGGAATATCTTCAACATTTTTATCATTTTGTCCATGTGGAGTCATAAAATTGATCACTCTGTAACGATTTGCCTCGCGACTTTTTTCTTTCTTTTAAATCGGCACCGTAATTCATCATACTACGAGCGTTAGTATTAGGAAGCAAAAGGTTAATAGACTGCTACGTTTGTATACTTCTATGAAACGTTTCGTGAGTAGTGGTCCTCAGAGAAAAGCAGAAACGAATTCGAGGAGGAGGAGGAGAAGGAGGATCGAGAAACGAT